TACTGTACACCTGGTGTACAAGCACTGACTGTACTCCACTGTCTATACTGTGTCTATACTGTACTGTATGGTGTCGATACTGTACCCCTGGTATACAAGCACTGACTGTACTCCACTGCCTATACTGTGTCTATACTGTACTGTGCAGCTGACTCACCACACACAGGCAAGGGGTGATGTAGGACCAGCACCACTTCATGAAGGGTAGTGGGCGATACCCAATCATCCGCGCCACGTCGTCCATGAAGCGGTCAGCCCCTGGGAGAGGGGTCAGAGGTCAGAGGTCAGTATCAGTGCGGTACGGGTGGGGAGCTGCATCAGTGAGCACTTGCTGCAAAGCCACACACAGGCTGATTCCACACTGAGAACGTGAGGAATTCATGCTTCCTTCTACTTACACACAGGCTGGCACTCAGTCTAACAAACACACACAGAAACAGCTCAGGGATGGTAACGTGATTCCCTTGGGAGTACTGCTGTGTGAACCCTGACAGATTTCACCACCTGCTCTTGTGTGGAGGCCAGGACCTGTCTTCAGTCACCATACCGGCCCTGGTGCGGGCGAAGAGCTGTGTATCGCTGGTCTTCCCCAGGCGGCAGTACCTGCCCAGTCCGGTAGGGGGCGCTCTTACCATAGACCCAGGCCACCACGACACACTCCCAGAAGGCCTGCCACAGAAGCGTGATCCCGCTGGCGGAGTAGTAATCAAACAGCTGGAACACATACATCCCCCCCTGCAGAGACAGAGAGAGCGGGAGGGAGCGATGGAGAGATTGACAGGGAGGAGGGACAGTGTGGGGAGAGAGGGGGACAGGAGAAAGAGAAAGGGGGGAGGCGAGGTGGGAGAGGAGAGAGGCGGAGGCAGTTATGGAGCCAGAAGAACATGCCATGAGAAAGGGGAAAACAGAGGAGAAGGGAGAGAAAGAGGTTTCACTGTCCCATGTTTCTGATTAATGAATGCCTTCCCCAGCCCTGTGCTGATCCCAGCGCCCCCCGACCCCGTCCCTGACCCCTCACCTCGGTCACCATGGAGAGGTCAATGACGAAGCAGGTGAGGCAGCAGATCGCCACGACAACCTCACGCCGGACAGACCCCGCCAGCGATCCGGGCAGCATGTCCAGAATCCCAGTGATGAACCCCTCCACTCCGACGAACTGTGTGGGAGAGGAGGACGGAAAGGAGCCTGATGCTGGATATCCGTGCGGATCACCGGACCTACTGGAGCAGGGCAGGTGGAGGGGGTGTGTTCTGGATTCACCTTGGAGCGCAGACGCTACCAAATCCCTTCCTCTCGTCCGGTTAGAAAGCGAGGGGGGTTTCCAGCACAACAGGCATATCTGCCTTTCTAAATGCTCTGAGAGGCAGCACAGTGATGTGGCTGTTGTCGCCGCTGCCCTTGGGGCATAGGGTCCGAAACGAGGCTGGCAAGCCTTCTGTGTGGAGTCTGCAGGTTCTCTCTGTGATCGCCCCCCCGCGTCCTCCCCCTTTTCCAATGACATGCTCGGTGAGGTGAACTGGGGTCTCAAATCTCTCTCTGCGTGTGGGCGCCCTGCGATGGACTGGGGTCCTGCCTGGTCCCCTGTGATTTCGGGACTGGCTCCAGGCAGCTGCGATTCTTGCCTGGGCGGCTCTCCGATGATTGATGGATGGATGGAAGTGAACTGAGGGAAAATTCTGGAGTTACTGCCATCCTGCAATGTCATCAAATCGCTGCCTTACCATCGTTCATTACTCAAGAGAGATATAACGAAGAAAACAGTCGAGGGGGCACTGTACTGTTCAGATACATGAAGGGCCACTTTTCCTTTTATTTCCAATTTTTGCCACTGGACTTATTTTCTCTAAATGTCACGCACTGCTGCATCAGCACATCTTTAGCGTGACCTCAGCACGTCTTTAGCGTGACATCTGCATGTTTTTAGCGTGACATCAGCTCATCTTTAGGGTGACATCAGCATGTCTTTAACATGACATCAGCACGTCTTTAGCATGACATCAGCACATCTTGGCATGACATCAGCATGTCTTTACAGTGACATCAGCACATGTTTAGCTGATTACAAAGAGTGTACGCTCAAGCTCACTGGAGGAAGAAGCCAGGATGAAGACAAGTGTCAAGCGTAACTGATGTGAGCACAGAAGGCAAGAGATGTAGGCTCGGGGGTTATTTTGAGGTACAGAGGGCTGTTGTTTTTTTGGGGTGGGGCAGGTTTCTGGGCAGTGTTACCTGGCTGTCCAGCCCCAGGATGAGCAGCATCAAGAAGAAGAGAGCCGCCCAGACGGGTGCCAGGGGCATCAGGGTCACTGCCTTCGGGTAGGCAATGAACGCCAGGCCTGGACCTGAGAGAGAGGGAGGGAGGGAGGGTGCGGAGTTTTAGGGCAGCCATTATGAAGAGAGACATGGGGTGGGAGGGGTCGGTGCCTGGGGCAGGTGTCAGGAAGAGAGGGGTGGGAGGGGTCGGTGTCTGGGGGCAGGTGTCAGGAAGAGAGGGGTGGGAGGGGTCGGTGCCTGGGGGCAGGTGTTAGTGTTTTATAGAAGCCATTATGAAAAAAGGGGGAAGCCGTAGAGAAGCAGAGAGGAGAGGAAGAGGGAGTGAGAAAAAGAGAGAAGAGAGAGATGAGACAGAGAGGAGCGGAGAGAGAGAAGTGTGAGAGCAGGCCTCTCTCACCAGACTCCGCCACCCTGGAGATGTCGACGCCCTGCTCGGCGGCCATGAAGCCCAGCACGGAGAAGACCACGAAGCCCGCGAAGAAACTGGTGCCGCTGTTGATCAGGGCCAGGACAAAGGCATCCCTGCCACACACACAGAGATCAGGAGAGAGGGCCGTACACCTCTGCAGCCACGCAGGTAGGCACGGCCGAGCACGTCCACAAAGAGGATACAGGCACAGAGCCTTACATGAGCCACGATAGCGGGTCCTGTCCTGTACAGGCACTAGGCTAGGTTCTGTGCAGTCAGTCCCACACAGTCCTGAACAGATTGCTCTGTACAGACCCAAAATCCAATATAGAACTGTACAGACTGTGCTGCAGTCAGTCCCATACAGTCCAGTACAGACTGTGATG